AATCATGTGACTGTTGGTCAGAGCTGAGTCACTGATGGCTTCACAGTTGCATCAAGGAGCATAGAATTTGTTTTGTTTTTGTAGAATCTGGTTAGAACAAATGTTTTGATTTTTGTGTAGTCTTAAATGACACATGCAGCATACAGGGATGAAAAATAAATATAAGTGCTTACATTTGGACTGTGAAAAGTTTAAAATCTGAGGAGTCTGTCTGTTTTATTCAGTTTGTATCTGAAAAATTGTGTAATTTTGCAATTTGTTAAAGATAATAAGCCTTTTCAAACACACTTGCAGATTTCTGGGCTTAGAGGATTAAGTTCAGAATTTAATATGGTGGGAAAAGCAGTCTTAATATGTTTTGCAGATTAACTGTAATATGACTTATGTGCTGCTCAAAGGACACCTGACTTGAACATGTATCCCCATAAGTGATGCTGTGTACTTCACCACCATTGAGTTTTTGTGTTTGTGGCTGCAGGGCATCAGCGTGGTGGAGCAGGAGCAGCTGGACAACATGATGATCGAGATGGACGGCACAGAAAACAAATGTGAGTTCAAACACAACAGGAGCCGGTTCTAATGACTAACAGCACATCATCAGATGGAAACTCAGCTTACCGTCCACTTGCATGTAGTTAAACACATTTTAAAAAATGTTTTCATCGAAGGTACTCTGCAGACGCATTAATATAGATGGGAACAAAGTAGAGCAGATAGATTGCTTTGGCATGACGAACATAGTCCTCAATAAATAAACGCAGCAGTCACTTATTTTAATCTACAATCGTGTCTTTAGTCATGTTCTTTAGTTTGCACGACCTGTTTTCATATCAATATTTCTATTTTTATTTTATTCAATTTTATTTTATTTTATCTTATCTTATCTTTTTTGCACTGCATTCTTTGCACTACCACCTTAGCTCTGGATCTGGAACACGTCTCATTTCACTGTGTACTATACAGCTGTATGTGGTTGAAATGACAATACAGCTCTTTTGAACTTTGAACTTTGAACTTTGATGTCGACTAATCATTTCAGGCAGCAGAGTGAAAAGCCCTGTCAGGAGAAATTCATTTCAGAAAGCACAGAAAAACTGTTTGTTTATTAGTTGTCAGAAAAAACTGCAACTGAATTTGTTGGAAAAAGATTTGAATTCACTTTTTGTTCATACATAGAGCTGCATTATGTTTGGAGAGCTACAAATAAAATAAGAAGTCATTGTTCTTCATTTTTCCATGTTGGTAACCTTTCTTGGAACTGATTGAGCTGAACTTATTTCATAATGTGAAGTTAGGAAAGGAAACTAGAAGGTTACCATGCAAAAGACAGCAATAGTTAAAAGGATAAGTTCAATCTTTTGTTGCTTTTTATGACATTAATTTAGGGTGTTACAATTTGTGGTAACAAGTTTGGAAAAAGTCTGCTTAAAAAGGGAAATTATCACCTGTGAGATCATTTTAAACACAAGTATAAATTGAACATGTGCTTGTACAGATAACATTTTTGACCGATCAGAGAATATACTCTACTTGGAAATAGTGCCATTATTGACAAGTGATACAGTTTTAAATAGTTTCACGTCTAAGTGGTATTCCACAGGGTTTTACTCATGACAATTGTATCCTGTATTATTTTTGCCAGAAAAAAATTTTTGTTACTTGTGATATTAATTCCAGTCCATTTCCTGTCTTCAAACAGCTCAGTTCGGAGCCAACGCCATCCTGGGAGTGTCTCTAGCCATCTGTAAGGCTGGGGCAGCAGAAAAAGACACCCCCCTGTACCGCCACATAGCTGACCTGGCTGGAAACACAGAGCTGGTGTTGCCAGTTCCTGTAAGACTCACTGTTAATCTACAATTTCTACAATTCTACAGTTTCATTTACGAGACGCGTTTATCCAAAGCGACGTACATCTGCAGGGCCATGATATTTGACAGATGTCATTTTTTAAATTAATTTCAATCTTTATTATGTGAGATCTCACTAAAAACCTATTGTATGTTTTTGTGCAAAAGTATAATGTTCAGGGTTAGGGTTTCATCAAACTCTTCTATTTCTTCTTTCCTCTTCAGGCTTTTAATGTGATAAACGGAGGATCTCATGCAGGAAACAAACTGGCCATGCAGGAGTTCATGGTTCTGCCAGTTGGAGCTGAGTCTTTCAAGTAAGTATTTCACTTATTTATCTGAATTTTGGCACGTTACTGCTGTTGGTTACTGCTGAGCCATTAATGTCTTCATGGTTGTGTCGAAGAATGCAGGATTTTCTACAGAATCCGTTTAAAGCATTCATTCTATTTTTAGCAAATTTATTAACGAGAGACATAGAAAAAGTGATTTTGATGACGTATCACAAACTGAAGCTTAGATACAGCTAGTTTTTTAGAAGAGTAGTGCTGGGACCATTGCTAAGTTTAAAATCAAACTATTCTTTATGATTCTACAGTTTCTAGCTGATAAATAATGTAATCTGGCAGTTTTTTAAAAAGATGACCTGCCTTTTAAAACCAGCAGTGAGTTTTGGAGTTTCGAAGGTTAAAACACTTTTGCATTCAGTTACACATGGTGTGTATTTTGCTTCTTGTTTTCAGTATAAATAACATGAAGTTACAAACAGTCCAATGTGTTGTATCTTTTTAAACAACATGCTCCCTCCGTCCTGATCCTTCCACCTGGACTCCATCCAACATTTCCTGCTCCTTTCTGTCTTCCAGGGAGGCATTGAGGATAGGAGCTGAGCTCTACCACACACTGAAGGGGGTGATTCAGGAGAAATATGGCCAGGATGCTACCAACGTGGGAGACGAGGGAGGATTTGCTCCCAACATTCTGGAGAACAGTGAGGGTAAGGAAAAGGAGATGAATAACTCAGATCCTCCATAGCGCCTCAATCACCAGCGATCATTTGTATGATTTGGATAAATTTATTTACCTTCAACCACCCTCAGCTTTTAGAGTTTCCAGACAACAGGTCCTTAGACGTGCTTTATCTGTCTTGAAAAAGAGGCTTTGATTTTAAAGGCAGACAATTAGATGTGAAACTATAATTTGCATAATTAAAACAGCCATTAGCTTCAGTCAGCAGAAATTATTTCTGGAATTGGAAGTTTTTCAGCTATCAGCAGTGTCTGCAGACCCACATCTCTAACAATTAGAAGCCTCTCTGTAGTCTGAGAAGCCTGAGGCCATCTTCCATTTCTTACCTCGTGTTACCTCTTGTTATCCCAAAGCTCTGGATCTGCTGCAGACAGCCATAGAAAAGGCTGGCTTCACGGAAAAGGTGGTGGTTGGGATGGACGTGGCCGCCTCAGAGTTCTACCGCGACGGGAAATACGACCTGGACTTCAAGTCCCCGCCAGATCCAGAGCGACACATCAGTGGCGAGGAGCTGGCTGACATTTACCAGGGCTTCGTCAACAACTACCCAGGTACAACACTGTTGTTCTGTTAAGTGATCTAGTTGTACCTAGCCAAGACGTGACCCGAGATAGTCCACCCCATACTGGCATTAATGAAGCAGTATGGTGTCTCAGTTTGGTGGTTGTCCTGAGCTGAACAAGGGCACGTTAGACATAAGGGTCTTACATGTAAAAAAATAAAATAAAAACTAAACATTCCAGTCAGTCATTTGTGACATAAAACAGCTTATTTTACTGTATATGAGTCCTCATGCACTTCTACATGGCAGTTCTTCCCTGCACAAGCAAATAATAAGATTAAGAGACCAAAGAAATTACTATTTAGCTCCAGCGATTTGCTTAAAAAAACAAAACACTGATACATTGTGCCACAACAATGTGAGTAACTGTCTCAGCCTGGACATCCCTATGAAAACTGTCGGGCTCTGCCACTGAGTCTTCGTGGCATCTGGTTTACAGTTGGGCTTCTTAATCTGGTTATTAAAAAAGTAAATCTGAAACAAAGCCTAAAAAACAATAGATTTTTGTTTTTCTTCTTTTCGTAAATAAATAAAATACCTGTATACTGTTACCACCTATAGGAAGTTTGATAAAAACACATTAAAGTTATTTCACCCGTGTGCAAGAGCCATGCAGTGATTTCTAATCCCAGGATCCTGACAAAATGAAACCCAATAATAAAACAGCCTGCCCCTCCTCGCTTACCGAAGTAGCATTTTCAGCTGACATAACTATCTGAATGCAGGACTGCAGGGCGAAGTGCATCGCTCTTTATCCTCTCTGACGGAACTGATGCATAAGAAAACTGTGTCGCTCACTCTTCTGGACAGCGATAACTGCCATAAATCTTTAAAAAAGGAAACAAAGTTGAATTTCTTCGATTTAAAAAAATAAAAATAAAATACCTGGAAAAAAAAATTGGGACTCTACATACTGTGGTTAAGGAAGTCCCAATCAGGATCTGGGCTTATCAAAGCAATTTTTTACCTGATCAGTATTGGCACAAGATAAGCCTGATGCTCT